TCCTTGAAGGAAGTCACGTCCTTTTTTTGCGGCGATAACCATGCACTGTCGCGCTAATTGCTGGTCTCCCCGAACTTCTGCAATCCCAGCCTCGGTCGGGAACTTCATGACCAAATGGTAGGGCGAGTAAATGGCCTTCGCTTGACTCATCCAGGGCCGTCCCAGAATGATGTTGAAAGGGGCCACGACATCCACCACCGCAAAGTCGACGAGAATCACCCGATCCTTGGGATAAGTCCCTACGGTGACAGCCAAGCTGATTATGCCTAACGGCATTATCACGTGGTTAGAAAAGCCGACCAGAGGTATGGATGCGGGGCAGAGCTGAGTTTTGTCGAGGCCCAACTTCTGGAAACAATCAACGTATATGACATCCACTGCACTGTCATTATCTACGTATACTCGTCGAACTTCCCTGTTGGCGACTATGGCCGTGATGACTAGCGCGTCGGAATAATCTTCAGATCCACCCACCAAATCCTGCTCTGAGAAGGATATCACCTCCCCGGGGCGGAGGCGTTTAGCCTCGGACTCATCCGGCGGCCAGGGGCGCGAGCTCCTGAAGAGAGCAGCAACACTCTGGACCCCTAAGGGTGCCCCAAAGATAGCGCCTACAGGAGCCGCCAAAATCTGCCGTGCCTGCGCCGGATCGACACCATCCTGGGCTTTAGTCGCGTCCCCGACGAGGGTCTGGTTGGCGGTCTTAGCGTTGTTTTTCTTCCACCTCCGGTTCTTGGGTTGGCCTGGCGCTTTCTCTTGGGATCCCTTCTGGACACAATCCTGGAACTTGCCCGCCTTAAGGCCTTCCTCAATCTCCTTCTTCAGCCTGTAGCAATCCTCGGTGTCATGCCCTTTGCTCCGGTGAAAGTCACACCATTCGGACGAGGATTCATGCTGAGACCGGCCTAGGGGTGGAAGCTTGAACTCACTCTTGTGAATTTGAAGAATCTCCTTTCTGGTTTTGGTGAGGATAGGTACTTTGGACTCAAACTTTGGAGATCCGATGTTGAGTTTCTTCGCCTCCGGCTTCCCGGTTTTCTTCTCGCCTTCGGCAAAAGCTTCTCTGGCCCTCTTCATGGACTCATCTGTCCGGATCTCCTTCTCTACTATTTCCCACAACCTCTGGGTAGTGCCCGGAGGCTTAGCCGTGAGCTTGCTCCTCAGGGCCGCGCCCGCACCAAAGGGAGAGAGGCCGTTCACGAACTCGACCCTCACCACCAAATCGTCGACCTGGTCTATCATCATGAGTTCCTTTGTGAACCTCTCATAGTATTCCCCCAGAGACTCGTTCCGACACTGGCGAACCGAAGACAAGTCATGTATGGTGCGCTTGGCTCTCTTGCTGGAAAAGAATCGGACGTGGAGCTTTCGCCCTAAGTCCGCATAAGAAGTAACGCTGCCCGGGGGAAGGCTATCAAACCATATCTTAGCAGCCCCCGTTAGGAAGGTGGGTATCGCTTTAGCAGAGAACTCCCGGGGCGAGTCTCGCAAATCCATGGCCGCGGTGTAATCGGCCAGGAAACTAACGGGACAGGTATCACCTCCGTACTTCGGGATGTGCGTTGGGAGTTTCAAGTTAGCCGGCCACGGGTAACACCGTATATGCTCAGCGAAAGGACTTCCCAGTGTCTCCCTAATGTTGAGTATGGCCTCGAGCCGGGGATCTGACACACCCTCGCGGTCCACCCGCGGCTCGGGTCTTGGTGGGGTTTTAGGGTCGCGTTCTCTGGATCGATCTCGACCCTGAGAGACCCTTTGTTCCCCCCATGAACATGAGACTGTCGTCCGGACCTTCGCCTTTGCCTCCATAATACATGTTCTCGAATGTTTTGAACTGCTCTTTGAATCCGGGGAACCTTCCGACAAAGGACCTCTAGAAACAGTCATCATGTGGTCCCCGTTCAGAAGAACGAGATGGACGAGGGTGCTTGGAAGTTTCTTTGCTCCTCTCTGCTTCTTTACTGGTCCGGCGGGATCGGCTCCTCCGGTGTTCGGCTGACTCATGGTCGCGGCCCTCCCGAGGGTCGTCGGTCCTCCTAGAGCGACCCTGATGATCATTAGTTCAGGAAGCCCCTTCGGCATCCTCCTTATCTCGGGGTTCTCCACGGGACCGGGCGGATATGCGGGAACTCCCCCCTACCGCCTTCGATCTCAATCCAGGCCTGCGACTCGTCTCTTCATCAGGCCTTGTCTAGGTGGAGACCATTACTCTCGTAGAACAACTGGATTTGCCCTCGGCCAAACGGGAAAGAGTGTTCCCACAGACGGCGCCACTTGTCGAGGGTAAATCCCGGGGGCGGAGAGTCAACGGTCCGACCTAGACGAGAACGTGCAAAACGCAGGTTAGCACTCCGAAGATCAAGTCAGTTGTAGGGAGAGAAGCAAGCAATTGTCACACTTAGAGAGAGAAACAGGAGTGTGAAATTGAATCAGCAATAAATGAACAAGGAGTATTTATAGGTCCCCAATGGGACAATACCTGTGGGCCCCTATGTCTAGAGGGGCAAAAGCATAAATAGACATGTGTTAATTCCTTGTGAACCGGTTAGGCCCAAAGGAATTAAATAAATGGACGACTTGGCCTTGCAAGATGAGCCCAAGTCGGATGGCAAGTTGCGCCGGTCAAGATGGGTCAGGATTGACCTCCAACAGAACCCTTTAGGTTGGCGGCGTTCTCAGAACAAAAATTTAAATTTTTCTTCCAGAGTTAAATTTAACCATTCAGACAAAATCATCCTTTGTTGTATCTTGAAGTTTTCAAGGATGGATTTGGTCACAGGAGAAACTAGCAAACTTAATGCTTACCTCCATTGAGGTTCTTGTAGCAGAAACATCTTGGCCCTCGTCATTCTGTACATTGTCAAAACTCAATTCACGGTCATCCTTGATTCAGAGTCAGTCTCCGCATCACCATCATCATCATCATAGTCCTCATAGTCATCATTCCCATCATCTTCAAGCCCATGAAATTGGTAATCTATATGTAGCTCCTCAGCAACGAGCTTGACATGAGGCTCAATTGATTCGAGAGATTGAGTGCCTTCCAAAAGAAAGATAACTGCTTGAAACCATAAAAGATCGTTTCCCTAATCAGCCTAATCTAAATAAGCGCAAGATACTGAAAGTTATCTATCTATAACAGAACCTGAGCAGCATGATATCGTGCTGCTTGCGTTAACAGACTGCGGGATTGTCCTTGCTTCAAAGATTTCATTCAGAAAAAAAAAAAAAGTGTTTGCCTCTTCATCATACTCATCTTGAGCAACTTCCAGCTGATGAGGTGAAAGACCCTAGCCCTTGCTACTTTTTGTCCTCCTTTTACCTTTTGATCGTTTCAAGGTCCTCAAATATTTCGCAGAATATTAGACACCAGTAGTGAGAATATTAAAGGTTTATGTTATGATGGAGTTCAAAAAAAAAAAAAGAAAAGAAAAGAAAAGAACTAATACTGTATACATCTCAAAATATTTTCAAAATGATTCATTTACTGAATCATCCCTACTGGCGAGAGCTATACAAATATGTTGAGCCAAATTAAAATATTCATCGGAACCAAAAGGAATGAAGTGATATAGGATTTGTGTGAATATGATCATCAAAACTCTTACTACAAATTAGGGGTCACAACCCGATCGATTACACCGATGTTGAGAAATCAAAAATGGAACAGATTTGAGAAGATCAACAACATTAAATCCCAATAATCCAAAATGAAACCCTAAGAAGAAGAACCAAGAAAAAAGAAAACAAAGAGAAGCAAACAAGCCACTCTAGACTATTGCTGTCTCTAGTAATGTTGCTCAGGAAATGTGGATTTGTCTCGTCTCTAGTTGTCTCTAGTTGGATTAGTGTTAATGAAACTATATATGATTTGCGAAAAATAAGAGAGCCTTGGTGGATCCTGGTCCACACTGTAAATGTTCTCAATTTCCTGTTTAAACGTAATTTTATGCTAAATTATCTTAAATTGCTCTCAAAAGAAACCATTTTTTTAATCGGATGTGGTTAGAAAATATTCTAGTAATTTTACCTACTCTGTTTTGCATTTTTTTAAAATATGTGTAAATTATGGAATGACACTTATATTAGGATGAATGGAGTACTATTTAGTATTTTCCGTCCCAAAATGATATTCTGCTTGTTATGGGTATGGATGGAGTACTACTAGTTCTGCTATAGCGACCTTCATTATACAATAAAAGCTCCATAAATTAATAATTATTAATTTATCGATAAATTAATCTTTTAATAATGTTAAAAAAATTTCAATCCTATAAATTAGAAAAAAAAACAAAAAATTTTAATACTTTCATATCAGGAAAAGTTCGTTAGCCCTAACCATAACATTATACTCCCTCCGTCCCATAATTATTGTCCACTTTGCCCAAAAAATTTTGTCCCACAATTATTGTCCAATTTGACTTTTTATGGATCAAGTTACACATTTGTCCTTAGTAAAAAAACATTATCCATAAAATCTTAGTGGTTAAATAATTACTTATGTAGGGGTATATCCGGTTGTTTAAGGTAAAATATAGTTAAGTTTGACCAAAAATAAAATCTTTCATTTTAGTAAAACTGGACAATAATTATGGGACGGAGGGAGTATTTTTTTAATGGAACAAAAACATGATAATTGAAAACATAAATAAAAATACTTAAGTACAAATCTAAGTTAATCTCCAAACTAATTTATTATTGGAAGTATTTATTAATTTATGAAATTATGGCTACCTATATTTATATACGAGATTCTTGAAAATTATTATCTTATAAATTACTCTGGCGGCTCTTCTTTTCTTCATTGAATTAGGGCTTGATTTGGTGTTCGATTTTCTTCGTGACTTCGAGTAATTTCAGCCTAACAATTAGGGCCAGAACTTACGTTTATATGGTTTGAATCAACTTTTTTTCATCTTTGTTTGATTTTGTGTTCTTTGCTTTTAGATCTAAAGCGAGGACTATTTCGTCTACCGTGGACCTGAAATCTTCAAAGAAAGATGGATACCGTCTCCCCTCCACCGGAATCCTCCACTAAGGCGACGGAAGGTTCTGCACATACATCAGACACCATCCCATGCGATGATCTCCACACGCCTTACCCAATTGTTCTGGCTAAGGATGGATCATTTGAACCACATGACCTAAATTCGAAATGGGAACCACCGCCATGGGATTTGTTTTCAATGAAGGAATTATATGGTAGCTGTTGATCATTCAAGCAAAAACTCGAAGTCTCCGCCGAATGTTTTTCATCTGAATTCTCACATGCTGGCCACAATATCTGGTTGACACGAATCTTTGCTGGAAACTGTGAAAGTGAAGTGCTCAGAAAATGAAAGAAAGGGGAAAGAAACTTTGGTTAGACATGTATTTAAGTGGCTGAAAAAGTCTATTTCGGAGCAAAAGAAGGATCTGTCAATAGGAATACTGATTGCGGTGTGGAACAAATTGGAGCGAGGCCTGTATCGCATCAATGGTAATGAATGGTAAAGGTGAAGTGGTTACAGGTAATATACTTGCCACAGGATCTGGTTCGGGTTCTCAAGTTATCCTGATGCATGAGCGCACACGCTTTGGTATTCCCAATGCAAAAGTCGGCCTGCGGCCTGATGAGCACAAAAGCGGTATGTCTGTAACTGAAGCTGCAGAGTTGGCCAAAGAGGCTATGTGCTATGCTGCAGATTGTGCTCCGCAGTATGGGGATGTTGTTACTGTTTACTACCTAGGAAATCAAGGTTGCAGGAAGCTGCTTGAGGAATATGTTGAAGCATTTTGGCAAAAGGTGGAGATCAAATGCACTAGGTGGAGGTTCGTGGTTATAGGACCAGGATGGTCCACGCTGTAGTTTTTGGCCTTCTATTAGGTGGGAGTTGTATCTGAGATTGTTAATCGGTAGGATATATGTTTTATCTTTGGGCCCTCAATCTTTTATGCTTTACATTTGAAGAAGGATTTGACTTTGTTGTTGATATTTATGATTTAATCTCCATTATGTTTCGTTTGAGAAAAAAAAAATTATCTTATAAATTAATCTGGTTTTTTTTTATTCATTTTTTTGTATTGGTCCCAATTTAGGACCGGACAAAAATATTATTTAATAGAGGTTATTAATTAATAAAGAATTAATTTATGGGAGTTTTACTGCATATGTATTCATTTAACTGACTGAATTTGGTGCTTCTGCTTCATGTAATCTGATAACAATCAAGCCACTGATCTCCGCATTGCATAGCAGGAATATTAATAAAGCACGCTTCTTCAACTTTGTGCCCAAACAGAATCTTAAGTTGCCCCTTATAAGTCAAACCGTGCATGCAAAATGGAACTTTTCGAGATCACCTACCCGTCCTTAAACTTTGTTATATTTACTCCGTCCTGAAATTATTGTTCAGTTTAGGTTTCTATTTTTAGTTTAAATTGTACTAAAAGTAAAATTTCAAAATAAATAATATTTTTGAGATAGAAGGAACATAAGTTAAGCCCCCAATGCGGGCCTATATGAAGCACGACAAATTTAAGCTCCTCGATCCCTCTGAGAGAGAATGAAAAAAATCATGCAAATTTAGTTTCTATCATACGGTCAATTTCTTGCTGATTTTTCCCTACTTAGAGTTGTTGATTAATTTATAAATACGTAACTTTAATCCTATTAATGTAAAAAAAAAAAAAAAAAAGAAGAAATTTCCCCCTCTTTTTAATTTTGGAGTTTAATCCGACTTCAACATGGATATATCATTACATTAACCATCCTCAATTCGCAGTAGGACTGAAAACAAAACTTACAATAATCAAAAAATAACGAACGCCTCATGCAAGTACTGATAAGTCCGAGTAACTGGACGGACAATATTTGGGATGGACCAGAAAGAACTCATCAATAGTCGATTCCATAATCCCTCCTAATCAGCATGTACGATTTATAAACTGTCGAAATCCTAGTGAAGAAGACAGCTAAGAGCAGGTGAAGGATGCGTCATGTACTTTAAGTGACCTGGCTAATTAAGAACGAACGGCGAAGGCAGCCGAATCAAATCTGGAATTGGGTGAATGTAGCTTAGGATTCTGTTAAGGATACTGCCAATAACCTGAAAGATGCACTAACCGGAGACGATTATCATCATGATCACTATCATCATCAACACGGGGAGAATAGGAATGCTAAAGAATCGGAGCATGATGCCGATGCAAGATTCAAGTTATTTCTTGTTGAATCTGGGTTCATGTTATTTAGAAGTGTTTAAGTTTTGATGTTCAAAACAAAATGAATGTGCATCATCATTGTTTTTTATTTTAATATTTAGCTTTAGTTTGATGGTTTCCTTTAGATAAATCAAAACAGAAAAGGCCGGTAATCATATCTGGACACATTGTTCTTTTGATTGGATATTCTTCAAGGAATGAATCATAAAATGCTCCTCTTCCTCCCGAACTGTCTCGGAAGCGATTAAAGGAAAATCATTGTAGCTCATAAAATAGTCACAAGTCGATAAAGAACAAGTACTTGATCAATCGATCGAAGATGATTCAGTAGCAAGCAAAATATCTAAATATCACAAGGAACTCACACGAAACTCAAACTAGGGGGAAAAAATGTGCATATAAAGGCATTCAATTGTTGCACAGAGCTGGTCATACATAAGAGAAGAAAACTACAATTTCTTAGGCCAGAGACAAAATACGGCCATGAAACGAAAACGTTCCCACGTCCACATAAAACTTAGGATCTATGTCGCAATATCTCCTGCCCATGACAAAGTCCGCAGCCCCACACTAAGTTTCCCCAACTCCTACCTACCCTTAATTTCACCATTACCGTCACTTGTGCCTTCCTCAATCCGGATCTCTTTCTTCTCTTTTTGCCTCAATTTCTGTAATTTCTTGCTAAATACTGAAGTTCCCTTCCACAAGTTCCCCATCTAGCTTCGGTTTTTTTTTTTTTGTCCCTTTCGGCAATTCTAGATCTTTATGGGATGTGTTCTTGAGGCGTGGTAAAAATTCTTCTTTTAATTATAATCATTTATAATGCAACCATGTTGATAGGTTGCTCGCAGCCTTATAATTATAAGATGTAAAGAGGTGTTTATAATTTTTAGAACACCTCATTTTTATCTAATGGTTGTTATTAACTTTAATCATCCAACGGCTATAAGAGTAGACTACACGATTTAGTCGACTGGACCGTAGTCGCACCCTTTATTTCAAGTTATAAAATAAAATACGCAGGGTGGCGTGGGGCGGTTTACATGATAATCTACAAATTTTTTTACTTTACTTATACATCTCCAGAACCATTATCCTCATATTAATTATATATGTCAATGGAAACAAAGATTGCGTCGAAAGTTGAAGTTCAAAATTTGAGTCTTTAGATATCAAATGCCAAGTCAAATTGTGAAAAACATACCAGAGATTGAGCTTTATCCGTTGAGGAAAAGTTGGACAAAATTTTGCATCATATAGATATTTTCGTAATTGGTGAGATGGATTCCGGTAACTTTAAATTGCAATTTTCATAAAATGAGTTAATTCTCAATGTTCCATATCACTTGAATGTATTTTGATGGACAAAAACTCAATACTCTTGTGCCAAATCCCACTTATCCACTTTGTAAAGTTTATTTTGATGAAATCGACAAATAAATTGAGACGTAAGAACTACTTTATTTGTCTCGAAATTATTTTGCCCAGTTTGAATTTTAATTTTTAGTACAAATTAAATTAAAATTAAAAATTCAAACTGTATAATAATTTTGGGATAGACGGAATACCAATTAAGGAACACATGTTGTGTCTCTAAATGCATTTGGATATCTTCATTTTATCACCCATTAATTAGGGCTAATTCATCACATTAAAAGAAAATTACCTACTTAAAATATATGTTTATTATCACATTAAAAAAATTACCTACTTAAAATATATGCTGATTGTCAATTCATAATCATGTATATAAGCTCAATTCTGACCCATAATAGCAGAACTGGTTCTAAAATATGTTTTTCCTAGAAAAACAAATTTACATTTTCATGCTTAATATTTATGGTTTTATATTTGAATTTGTTTTTACTAATATATGATTATATATTTAACTTAAATATGATTAAAACGTAAAATAATGAATCAAATTAAAGTAGTACGATAATGAATGTTATTTATGTGTTCTACCTTGCAATTTGAAACATGATTATTACAATGGGATGGGGAAGTTTACGTAATTTATCCATTTTGAATTTTTTAAAAGTATTAGGATTTCTCTAAATTTTTGAAGGATTTGTATTCGTTGATTGTTTCCTTTAAAAATAAGTTGGGAAAGCTATAAAAAAAAAATGTTGATGATGTCTTCGTGCAGGTTTTACGTATTTCTTGCAATGATGATCGACAGATAGTAGCGGATCTAGAAAAAAAAAAATTAGATTGGGCCAGGAACAAATTATACCTCATGTCCCAAAAATATAGTTTTTAGTATAAAGTCCATATTCAGTGTCAACCTTTTTTTTTGTGATAGACAGAGGAGGCTGTATCCAGTATACCCGGGGACACCGTGCCCCCTCCTATTTTTTGCATTTTTAGTCCTTATTGTATTTTTATCAATCTTTCTATATTTTACAAGTTTAGTCCCTGTGACTTTTTTTCTCTCCTTTAAAAAATATCTGCAATCTTTCAATGACCATATCTCATAATCCGTAAAGAATTAGAGAACGTGTTATACATGAAAATTATAGTACTCATCGAGATCTATTCAACAAGATCCATTTCGAATATTTTTTTTGAGTTTAAAAATGACTAAATTTTGATGGGCAGAATAAGTTGGATATCCAGTAAGTTGGATAACCAGTATGCACGAGTTGGATAACCAGTATGAACAAAGTGGATAACTAGTTCAAACAATTTGGATAACCATGTAAATCCATTGGATAACAAGCATTAGCGCATTAGATAATCCAATACAAACGAATGATTGGATAACCAATACAAACGAGTTGGATAACCAACTTAGTTTATTATTTTTTAAAAAAATAATAAAAACAAAAACCAGGTTGGATAAATAATACTAATTAGTTGGATAATCTGTCCATCAGAATTAAGTCATTTTTAAGCCCGAAAAAATATTCACTGTGGATTTCGTTGGATAGATCTCGACGAGTACTATAAATTTCATATATAATTCGTTCACAAATTCTTCACGGATTGGGAGATATGCTCGTTGAAAGATTAGAGTTAGATATGCATACAAACCAAATGGATGGATATTCAGTACAAATAAGTTGGATAACCAGTATGAACAGAATGGATATCCACTTTAAAAAGATGGATAACCAACTTATTTACATTCATATCATTCTTTTCCTTGTATCTAATGATTCGTAAAGAATTATAACACGAATTATATATGAAACTTATAGTACTCGACGAAATCTATCCGATAAGATCCATGTTGAATATTTTTTTTGAACTTTAAATGCATTTAAATTTTACGGGCAAAAATGAAGAAATGCGTTTTTTGTTTTTCTTTGAAAAATGGTTATCCGTTATGTTCCTACTGATTATCCAATCGGTTTGGACTGATTATCCATTCTATTCGTACTTGTTATCCAATCATATGTTTGACATTCACTCTTCAAAAAAAAAAAAGATGGATAACCACCTCTATTCTGCCCGTCAGAATTAAGTCATTTTTAAGCCCGAAAAAATGTTCACTGTGGATTTCGTTGGATAGATCTCGACGAGTACTATAAATTTCATATATAATTCGTTCACAAATTCTTCATGGATTGGGAGATATGCTCGTTGAAGATTAGAGTTGGATATGCATGAACACAGTGGATATTCAGTACAAACAAGTTG